TGAAAGGGATACAACAAACAACGTATCCTTTTTACGATGATTCGTAAAATCAAAAAAAAAAAAAAAACCGCAAACGTAACTGTATTCTTGAGATAAATCAATTAAATTTATTTAACGTGTTATATCGTGCCTTGTAAGATTACTATAAGCAAGTATAATGTTAAAAATTACAAGAGTGATTTATCAAATTCAGAAGGATAAGACAATGGGATAGGATAAGAAAAGTGTGTTACGATGAAGTTTAGAAAATAGTAGGATTTCGTTAACAGATTTAGTTATCGGTTATGAACGGATTTATAGAAAATATTGGTATATTTCAACTTGAATTCTTTGATAATATCAAAAGGATTTAAAAAAAAAAATAATATTGAAAAACAAAATAAAATATATTGAATATTGAGAAATAATATTATTTTAATAATATCTATTTGAACGAACAAGTCTAATTTTAGTTTAGTAGTCTATGAATGACCAGTTTTAAAGCCTATCAATCGATAAATATATACGTTAAGATTATGGAATGTAAAAAGAAAACGCGTTTAATTATAGAAATGCAATTATAAATAGTTCGTAAACTGGGATTAAAGTATTTAAATGTATGGAAAAAGTTACTTTCCTTTTTTTATTTTCTTCTTTTTTCATTATATAAAGTATGGAAAGATTTATGTATACGATAAGATAATTATTAAATCCAGTTCTTTCTCGATGAAAGAGGGTAAATCTAAAAAAAAATCATATATTATTTTTATAAATAAATAAATAAATAAAAAAAAAAAAAAAGAAAAAAAGTAATTGAGAGATAGAAAATCCGGATTTTCCACATTGAATAATACCGATCACGAAGGTTTACAGTGTCAATACTACTTACGTCAATCAATCTATCTCTCTCATACTAATCTCATCTAACTGATTGGCAAAGTATCCTATTTTTGTTTAGCAATGTAACCAGATATATTCTGTATGGGAAACGGGTAGGTGTTACTGCCCGTAAGATTACTCGTATCTAGGAAAAGGTAATTCCGATACCGGTCGAACGAACACTATGTGAACCAGTATCCATCCAGCTATAGTACGGATCGATAAGAAGGATATGTTTTATTTCTACCTCATTTCTTACTCGTAACTAGCGATGGGAAATGATAGTCTTATAAGATCAATGTATCGATTCTTTACGAGTTGACACGCGAGTTGGAAATTGCAATGAATTATACTTTATCTCTTTCTCTCTCTCTCTCTCTCTCTCTGATATGTTATACGATGCAATATATAGCGTATGTGTGCGTGGTATTTTTTTATTTTTTTTCTTAATTCTTTTCATAATTATTATAACATAATTCATCTTATATTTTGTTGTTTTGTTCACGAAAGTGCAATCAAAATTGATTTCATATTCATGTTCAAAAGAATAACAAATATGTTACGATAAAAAACGACAAAAAAAAAAAAAAGGAACTACTTGTAAGATAATGGGAAAAAAAAAGAAACGGCTAGTTATCGCGTTAAAACGAATTTTACTGTTCAACGCAAGAGAGAGAGAAGAATGGCTTTAGCTCGGTCTGAAAACATTGTGTTCGGCTTTCGATTCGCCTTGGTACGGCACTCGGAAACGTCAACGCGTTTCACGCCACATAAATCAAGCTACATTAAATCCCCATGGTGATGATGGTGGTGGTGGTGGTGGTGGTGTTGTTGATGGTGGTAGTGATGGTGGTGGTGGTAGTACGCGCTTTCGAAGAATGGCTGCGCATGTGGGTCGATTCCACCTGATTTATGCAACCGTTTGACTCTTATCCGCCAGGAAAGAACGTTAGGCGAAAACTTGTAAAGCTTATATCACTATTTATGAACTCTTTTAACGGACCTTTCTTCCGATGATATATATTATATCTGATATCAAATTTTTCCATTTGTATTTTCTACGTTGACTTAATCATTAATCGATTATTAAACGATTACGAATAAAATCCCCCCCATTTGTGTGATATGATAAAAGAAAAAAAGGAACAATTGATCGATTTCTTGATCATTTCTCAGTCTCTCTTATAATTATAATCTAAGATAAAGTAAATAAATCAAAATGAAATAATAATCTTCGTTATATTATATATTTTTTGTTTATATCTCGTTGCACAACGCGACTTCAATTATTTTCATAAATGAAATAAATTCGTTCGTTCGTAATTTATTTACAATTACATGTAAACGATATATTCGATCTGTAATTATTATTAAGTTATCATATTACACTTTATTTAAACGTGAATCCCGTAGAATTTTGTTCACGATTTGATCGTGAGGCGTATAGGGGAAAAAAAAGTAGCAGAAGAAGAAGAGGAGGAGGAGGAGGAGTAGAAACGACACGGCTGAACGGTCCAGCGTGATCGCACGCGTTTCATTAAACCGTTACGGTATGACGATTTCTTTTCTCGAGCTCGATAAACACGTGATGATGTTCGACGATGCGAGTATAAAGCCGTTCCGACGTGATATATATACACACATATATATATATAGATAGATATATAGATATGTGTATAACAGTTCGATGATTCCTTAATATACGTTCTAAATTATTTTCTTAGATCGTTGAAAAATTCTTAGGAAAAGAAGAACAAAAAAAAAATAAGCAAGCAAACAGATTCTAAACTCTAACAAAACATTCTGATGATGATCAATCAATCTTAATTATCTTCAAATGTAATTGTACGTATCGCGTACGTTACGTTTCAATTAGAAATGTTCCTTATTATTTTTCATTTATTGTCGATAAGTGGAAGATAAAAAAAGAAAAAAAAAAGAAAAAAGAGGAAAAAAAAACGTAAGGCTTTAGTTAGACACTGATTAATCACACTTTTACGATTTCGAAAATACCGTGTGAATGAGATTGTGTAATGAGAAATAGAGAAAGAAACTGGGAAACAATACGTGTGGCCTTAAGAAAAAAAAAAAAGAAAAGAAGAGAAAAAAAAATAATAATAATTCGCTTAACGCCCACGGCCGAGGTAGCGATATAATAACTCGAGAAAGTAAGAGTTGTATGAGTTGTTAACGGTAGTAATCTTGTATCGTCAAAGGTAAACTATGTCCGGGCACGGTCTAATGGGGAACCACGCAAGCAAGGCTACGAGAAAACGCAACCATAAAATTTTCTTTTAATTCTTCGAATGTTTATTGTTAGTCTAACGTCCCAGTAGTCAATCAAGTAATATCCCCCAGCATCACTAGCGTTTAGTTTAAACCGTGTTGTTATACTTAAACCGATCTGTAGGGAATGCGAGTTGATGGTAATCGCAAAGTAGGTCGTAACGCACCGAGATCGACTTATAAAGAGGCTTCGGTAACGCGATAAGTCAGGTGCATTCAGGTCTCGTCGGTTCTGTCTCTTTCTTTCTTTCTTTCTTTCTTTCTCTCTTTAAACTGATTGCTTTACATCCGTCTTCTTTCATTCGACGTCTTTGTCGACGTTGACCGACGACCGGACGCGGACCCTCGTCGTTCAGCAGACAATCTCACTCATTCAGAAAAGTAAGAGAAATAGTTAGTCGCGAAAAAGAAGATTTAAAACGAGAACAAGAAAATTTGTCACGATTATATTGTATTATTCTTATACGAGAATTATTCTATATTTCGATAAGACAGATAATTGTCTACAGATTTTTCCTTTTCTTTCTTTCTTTTTTTTAGTTTACGTATGTTAACCTTTTAACACATAGGAATAAAATTGAAATTATAGAGAAACGTTTGAAATATATATATATATATTATTTTCGTTTTATTCGATTAAACACGTAACGGAATATTTCTATTGCTGTATATCGTTTAACTGGGTTACGATATTAATTGCTAATAATATAAATTAATAGTTCTGTTTAAAAAAAAAAGGGATTAACTATACCCTAACGCGAATTGTTTTTCCTTTAACGAATCGTAAAGAATCTTCGAAGATACTAATCACAAAAATAATAATTAATCTAATAGTAATCGAAACAGTAATCGCTTTTAATTAATTACGAACATGATTTGAACAATTGAATTACTTGTTTTAGCTTTTTTACGAAGATCGAATTGAAAACACATCGATTCGTATGTTAACTAATAGTTAAAGGAGTTTGTATACATAAGAACGATTAAACCCGTGATAAATTCGACGTTCTCGTTCGTCTATTCTTCTAATGCGCGCGGTTACTTTGCCTAATCTTTCATTCTGAACATGTAGAAATCGCTTGGCGAATCCATCGCCTCGGTGCATTATAATTCCGTCTGTCGAGAGCGAAAACGCGACATTGAGCTCGTACTTTGGCATGCTTCCGAGACACGTGAAAGGAACGTATTGCATTAGGTATGCTTATTAACAGACGAGAACTTAGGAGACGTAAGAAATGCACATTTCTACGTTTACGACTAACTTATAAGAAGAAGAAGAATATTAAAATATATATATATATATAT